TGAATTTAACGGTAAAAGACTGTAAAAATGCTACAGTAAAAACCTGTTAAATGGTTAACGGTAAATTCCCCTACTATATACGGTGAAAAACTGTATTGGACATTACATGTATTGGACATTAATTTTACGGTAGTATACCGTTTTTGGAAGTGAAAAATACCGTATAATTTACAGTGAATAACCGTAAATTGACATTCCCAGAATTCCCTGCATTACATTTCAAATGTGATGTTTTTTTTGTTGAAATAACAGTTTCTTCTTAGTTTTTTCTTATCAGTTTTGTATATTAGGGTTGTGTGTTACACCTAATGTTGTTAAATGAATGTTCATTATTTCAGTACCATGATGGTGTTTAGTGTTTGTGTGAATGACACTGTGCACCTTCTATATATGTTATTATTTAAAAGCTGCTTGTGAAGGCTTTGGTTCATCATGTGACTTTCTCATCATCTCCTGCATTTGGTGGTTATCAGTGTATTACAAAGATACAAAACAGATTTCAGTACTTCAATAGGTTGGTATATTAACATTTTATCAGTTAATGAAATTGCGGTATTTAACTGTAAATTTAAGTTAAAACCGCAAAACCTAAAACGTTGCTACCATATTTTTTACGGTAAAATTCCGGCAACCACAGCTGCCGTTTTTTTACCGTAAATTTTACAGATTTTTTTTTTTACAGTGAAGGTAATGAAAAGCCGACAAAAAATACATGTGAAACTAGTGTACTGGTGTAAATTAGTAGTGTAACTACCAGTCAAAAGTTTGGACACACCTATTTATTGTTTTTTATTGCTATTTTCCACACTATGTAGTAATAGTCATCAAAAAATAGAAGTATGACATTTATGTAGTGACCAAATAAAGTTTAACAAATCAAAACTAGTTGGACATTTGCTTCTCCTGCTCGATCATTCACTTATCAATCTTTGTGAGGTGCATCCTGGGATGCTTTTGCATGTGTTATGGACACTTCTTGATTGCTTCACTATCGACTCCAACTAACCCATGTAAAAAATAGATTAATAAATTCAGTAACATTTTACTTTTGTAAAGAAATTCATATGTATTCATTTATATTTATCAGTCAAATTTCAAACATATAAACAGGTTTGAGATGTATTACTATTATTACTATTTTATTTTATTTTTTTAACAAAAAAAGTCAAGTGTGCTCAAACTTTTGATTGGTAGAATATATACATATTAATCAGTAAACAAACATGTACGGGGCGGAGGATTTGTGGAACTGCATGAATCATCATTCAATGTCCTAATTTTTGTATTATCTCTTGTATATTATATTAGATTATTTTGTATATACAGTATAACAAAAATAAATATGTTTAATCAAATATAATGCAATATAATATAGATCACATAAAAAGTCTTATTTGGGCTTACTAATGTGTATGTATTGTTTTACAAATTCAAGCTAACTGTTAAACAAATGTATACATGGCCTCTGCAGCAAAAACACAAACACATTCTCTCCTCAGAAATCTATCTGTAATCAGGGTCATGACCCACGGGCCCCTGAACGAGACGAGACAGATCTGTAATCTGTCTTCAGTCAGCAAAGCCTCTACCACAGCATGACTAGAAATATTCAAGCCTGATCCTGGATTAGCTGCATTTATAGGAAGACTTTCACTCTTTATTTATATTTTTCATGCATATTTTTTCATGCAACTGCTATTTGTGGAGATTCTCTCTTACTACAAATGCAATCAACAAAAATTTTAGATTGCGTGAGTAAAATATGTTTGCGCATGCCAAAGCTGCCACTTAAATGCATTGTGGTTGCTAGGGTATTCTAAGTGGTTGTTTACTGGCTCAAGTCAAAAGGGCCCCCCGCTGGTCTCTATGATATTCTGCTCTCTATTTCAATTTAAAGGTGACATATCATGAAAATTTGACTTTTCCAGGTTTTAAGTGCTATAATCGGGTCCCCGGTGCATCTACCAGCCAAGGAAACGTGAAAAAGATGAACCCAGTAACTTTGTTTAGGTAAGCCTTTTTCTGCAAGCGTCTGAGAAAACGAGCGCGTCTGATTTCGCTCCCTTGGTGACGTGGCAAAGGGATCTCATTGTCATATTACCGCCCCTTAATCTGTATATGTATTCATTTATATTTATCAGTCAAATTTCAAACATATAAACAGGTTTGAGATGTATTACTATTATTACTATTTTATTTTATTTTTTTAACAAAAAAAGTCAAGTGTGCTCAAACTTTTGATTGGTAGAATATATACATATTAATCAGTAAACAAACATGTACGGGGCGGAGGATTTGTGGAACTGCATGAATCATCATTCAATGTCCTAATTTTTGTATTATCTCTTGTATATTATATTAGATTATTTTGTATATACAGTATAACAAAAATAAATATGTTTAATCAAATATAATGCAATATAATATAGATCACATAAAAAGTCTTATTTGGGCTTACTAATGTGTATGTATTGTTTTACAAATTCAAGCTAACTGTTAAACAAATGTATACATGGCCTCTGCAGCAAAAACACAAACACATTCTCTCCTCAGAAATCTATCTGTAATCAGGGTCATGACCCACGGGCCCCTGAACGAGACGAGACAGATCTGTAATCTGTCTTCAGTCAGCAAAGCCTCTACCACAGCATGACTAGAAATATTCAAGCCTGATCCTGGATTAGCTGCACTTATAGGAAGACTTTCACTCTTTATTTATATTTGTCATGCATATTTTTTCATGCAACTGCTATTTGTGGAGATTCTCTCTTACTACAAATGCAATCAACAAAAATTTTAGATTTTGCGTGAGTAAAATATGTTTGCGCATGCCAAAGCTGCCACTTAAATGCATTGTGGTTGCTAGGGTATTCTAAGTGGTTGTTTACTGGCTCAAGTCAAAAGGGCCCACCGCTGGTCTCTATGATATTCTGCTCTCTATTTCAATTTAAAGGTGACATATCATGAAAATTTGACTTTTCCAGGTTTTAAGTGCTATAATCGGGTCCCCGGTGCATCTACCAGCCAAGGAAACGTGAAAAAGATGAACCCAGTAACTTTGTTTAGGTAAGCCTTTTTCTGCAAGCGTCTGAGAAAACGAGCGCGTCTGATTTCGCTCCCTTGGTGACGTGGCAAAGGGATCTCATTGTCATATTACCGCCCCTTAATCTGTAAGTTTACACCCACGGCGCCGTTATTGTGTTTTCGCAAGCGACAACGGTGTACCAGCTCTAATGCCATGGTGAAAGTTTGAGCAAAACATGCTAACTATATTGCTAGAACAATATTTAGAGTCCCAGCCTCAGAGGAGACAAGAGAGAAGTGGATTTATTGATTTATTTAGGCTACTGTATATTGCTGCTGCCACACAGATCTAAAATAAACATGCAATTTATTTCCCAGCTGTTTACCTTCACAGACATAACCCACTGTTTTTGTAACTCGTGTGTTTTTA